CGCAACAATTTCGCAGTCCTTCAGGAAACCATATCGATCACAAAAATACGATGAAATTTTACCCTAAAATTTGGTCGCGTTAAATTTTTCTCTTCGAAACTTTGAATCGATCAGTAGAAAACCTCATAGTATCATAGAAGGACGAACAGCTAGTGAAATATTGATTTCATAAGCGGAATATTTTGTTTTTGTTTGTCTTTATTCAGAAAGTTCCCTCAGAAATGTAAGATCGAGATTTTCGAGATAGTTCGAAGCATGGAAAAGTAGGCAAGTCTGCATACCACAATTGATTCGCAGGGAACAATTTCTCCGAGTTTCTTCTTCAAAAGTACTTTCTGCTCATCAGTTTCGGCCAAAACGTTGAGACATTTCTCACTCCAGACTCCATTCCTTACATCCATTAGGTTCATGCCACACGCATCACCCGCATCGATACCAACAATGTGTCCGCATAGAACCGATGCAATAAAACTGGACACCAAAGAAATGCGCTAGAAACACGAACATGCTCACAGAATCAATGGATGGACTTGACTGATGAAAATTTCGGAAATTTTCTCGCATTCATCCTATTCGTTACTGACTCTCAAGGATATGCTCAAACGATTCAATTCACTGTTACTAGAAAATCATAAAATTATGCGAGAAATTTCAACTGAAGAAAATTTACTTCAGTCGACGCATAAACTTGTTCTTCATTTCGAATGATTTTCAGTATTTGATTTCCACTGAAACGATGGAATGCTCTTGAGCCGGTAATCTGGGCAAGTGTCTGAAATATTTGAGTGTTTCCGCATGTAATCAAATTTGACAACACTTTGATTGATTCTGATCGTAAAGCAAACCTGAACATCGCAACACATGCTGTTGCGATGTTCAGGTTTGCTCTGTGATCAGAATCGTTTTCGTTGAACATGTTTTTGATGAGAATCATTTGTGTAGTCAACATTTAAGTAATTTTTGCTGAACTTTTCTGCTTGCTGATTGTCAAATAATTCATTTGATTACTTCAGTTACGTTATGTTCAGTAACATAAATTAACCATTCCAGCCTCACTGTCAGATACTCTTCATTTGCATAATTGATGAACACATTTCACACTTGATTCAATTTCGATACTTGATTC